TGTGTGTGTGTGTGTGTGTGTGTGTGTGTGTGTGTGTGTGTGTGTGTATGGTGGGGACCATCTTGGATCTTGACATGACAACCCAATTTTCGATAGTGATCTTTCTTACCGTGATGCAGCCACACACCAAAACGGAAGTCAGTACATTGCTTTTTATCATGTTATGGAGCTCAGATATTGAGATATTGGACAGACATATGTGTGGACAGTCATCATAGATTTTGACATGGCACACCTATTTTTGAAAGAGGCCTTTTTACAGACAGTCACACACCAAAAATGGAAGTTGGCATTTGCTTGTTTTTCAAGTTTCTATTCTCACAACATGCATGGATGGATGTACAGAGGGTATTTTCAATCCACACTCTTTGCTCTGCATTGGGAGACAAAAATAACGTGTTAAAGCAAGTGGAAGACTGCATTTTTTTGAAGTCACAATTTATTTTCTTCCTTTTTTTGGACTGCTCCCTTCCTCAGGGATCATAACAAGCAAACCAACTCGCATGAAGACTTGACGATTGCTTTTATGCCGAATGCCCTTCCTGATGCAACCACAGACCACCGTGCTACCACATCTCTCTGTGTGGAGCAGAGAGCTGCCATCTCTAACCTTTATTTCACCAGGAAAATCCCACTGAGATTAAAAATCTCTTTTGCAAGAGAATCCTGGCCAAGACTGGCAGCAGCACACAGGGGCTACAGAACATTCACAACAAAAATAGAAAAAGTTAACTCCGTCATAAACAAATTAATTAAAAGATTCCTCAGTTCAAACATTTACAGACAGATAATTCCTTCTCCAAATCAGTAAGAACAGCCTTTAAAACATTTAGTGGCAACAGCTCCTTTAGGTTCATGTATTTCTGCAACTGGTTCCTAGAAGATGGAGCAGAAAACTGAAAAGATTTCTTTTCAAGTTCATTTTGGACTTTAGACACTGAAAGTAAAAATAAGTTCTCGCAACAAAGAGAGTATCTTCCAGTGGACTTTCTCTTTATAAAGGCCAACAAATATGAAAGAAGAAGTCCTAGTATGGCCTTATAAATAAAAATATGCCAATGGTGGAGTCTACGAGTGGCCAACCCAGTTGTATAAAGTGCAATGATGTGTAAAACCTTTTAAACCGGTTATAAATCTTAAAACTCCATGATAAACAGTATCCAGTGAATAGATATTTAAGAGGAGCATGCATGTATAAAATATCACCATAGTCCAGTACAGACATAAAAGTAGCATCAACCAGTTGCTTTCTAGCCTCAAAAGATAGACAGGGTCTGATCCTGAAATAAAATCCCGATTTTAATCTTAGTTTCTTCACCAGCTCTTGAATGTGAGACGTAAAAGACAAAGAATCATGTATTAAAAATCCTAAATATTTATACTGTGATACTTATTCAATTTTCAGACAGTAATGACTGGAAGATCCTTACTTTCAAATCTCACACTGAAAAACAGCATCACCTTTGATTTATCTACATTTAAAACAAGCTGCCATCTAGGGCGTCCAGGAGAGCAGATGGTGGGGGTTAGGGGTCTTTCTCAAGTGCCCAAAGTAAGACAAGCAAGGGTGGAGGCAGGTGTGGGTGTTTCACCTTTTCCACCCACATTTTAATGTTGTCTGTCTGTGGGGACCTTCCAATCACAGGCTAGCCTTCTCTAACCTCTGTGCCACCACTCCCCCTTTTAAGTCACAAATATGTGAGACTAACCTAGATAAATAAAGGCTAAATGAAAAAAAAAATGTGTCAGTAAAATTATTGTGTGAATGTCATCAAGGCATTCACACTATTGCTTTTCTGTTTATACTTTTCTGTTTATATTTATTATTTTCCTAGTTGTGTGAATGCCATCATGGCATTCACACTATTGCTTTTCTGTTTATACTTTTCTGTTTATATTTAATATTTTCTATTGCTTTTCTGTTTATATTTATTATTATTATTTTCTAGTTGTTTTTATGATTCCTTACGTTTTTTGCAAGCTCACTACTCACACAGGATTAGTGCTATATGAACATATCATATATCAAACCGTTCAGATTTTCAGGACAAAATGGCTATGACTTTCTTTATTGATGCAACTTTAACTTTTGGAGATATTTATCCTTTTCTGCCATTTTGGCTGTCATTGAAAATGTATGGAGCTCTCTATAAACAGACCAAGATCGCCATCTGGCAGTTTGCAAAATACACTACGCATTACCCTTACTTTGTCCTAGAAGCATGACACTTGGTACACTTGTCCAAATGTCCAAGATGGAGCATGCTGAAGGGGCAGGGCCAGACCTGGAAGTTTGACCTCTCGCCATGAAAAATGAAATGCTAATAGTTCATAATTGAAAACTGTCTGAAACATCAAACCTGCAGTGATTGATCCACATCAGGTCCCCTGCAAGACTAAATGGTCAAATCATGACATCACTTAAGCCACACCCCCTAACAACAGGAAGTGCAAAGTTTTACATTTAACATCCCAAGCTGACCCCTGTGATCTAATCAGCATGACAGTGTGTCCAGTGACCGAAGACATGTTGGTGTACCTTGCTTTCTAACACTGACAGTTTTGGGTGCAGCATGTGGGCGGCGTGGTGTGGCGAAGTAAAACGTAACGCCGTCACAATACGTTTGGCTCTAAAATCCACAGATTTGAGATGAGGTTCCTCAAAATCAGTATGATCGATCATTATCCACCCCTTGAACAGGCATCCATGATAAATTGCCAATAGCCTCCACAGTGCCCACTAGCGCTGTAACTTCTCAATGACGACACGCGGGCACAGCTTCTTTATTTGAAACGGGCGCTTTAATGAATGCCGTGAAAACTACAGAAACAAGACA